GGTGACGCGGTTCACGTCGATTGCAGCGCATCCGTGTCACGGCCCGTGACCGATCGGTCGCGGCGAAGTGACCGGGTGTCCACACTTTCGATTTTAGTGTCAGCTACGCAAGCTACTTGGGTCACATTTTACACTTTAAAACGCTAAAATGAGCAAGGCACCTAGGAACACATATCTTTACTCAATCTTACCGACCGATACACATGATCTAAATATGCTGGACCTTCTACTAAAATACAATAAGGATATATGCAAAAGAGATCATAGCAAAATTCGTAATGAGCTGAAAGTTCTTTATGCTCAACTTTGAACTTGAGGAATGGCGGCGGAGACAATCGAAGCGCGACACTCTGAAAGCTCCTCATGGTCGGTTGTTATTTGAGTCGCGGTTTACGGTCTACGGTACTCAATATGTAGGTACCGCAGTGTGCAGTGTGCAGTGTGCACTGCACTGAGTCTGTACCGCACCGTACGGTCAAAATTTGAATTTGTGTGTTACCGTCGGATCCTGAAGATTAGATAGACATTCACCGTACGATGTCCGCAAAACGACTATTGTCTATCATTGAGGTTGATGTCAACAGCCACGCGTCGCACAATCAGGTCGAAACCGTACGGTCAAATGGAGTGCTGGGTACATGGTAGAACATACGATTCAACCCTAGGCGCTGAACTATAATTAGTGCATCGATCAAGTACCCATGAATTGATGTTTCTCATCTACCGGGCACAGGTGTAGAATCCATTCAAGAGCGCCGGCTTTAGAATCGCAAGTCTGGTTCTAAAGAAATCGTAGGCTCCGTTGGCACGCCGGTGTTACCTACCCGACAGACCGGCGCGACACCCCGGTCACGACGGTCTGACAAATCCGTGACCGGTGTGTCATGCACGGGCCAGAATGCCCCATAGGTGCCTTGTGTGACAGAATGTGCTTGGTGTTGCATTGAATATATGTATCGATCATTCACCAACCATCTTAATCTTCCGCTCTCCGAGCAATGCAGTTCAATATGATATGCAGCCTCACATCATCAAAATGCATGCCATGTCATCGATCTGATGTATATGCTCAGTGCAGCACATATTAAGGCGGTTAAGTGACTATAATCTGTTCGACGAAATCATTTGCAATCACGTCAATAGCTGCAACTAGCTATATACGCGTTCAAGAATGATATAGAAATTAGATATAGAAAGTGATGAACGACCCACCCGTTACCAACTCAAGTTGCACACGTCAGCAGTCCTACTTTGACGGCCTGCATATGAATCAAGTATACAGTGACCATGTACGGGAAGTGCCATCGGGTGACGATCGGATGCTTCATTGAACGGCCTCGATCAGGTATAGGGCCAATTTGGAAAATGGCGCAGACTTGTCCACCCCACTCGATCTGACAGCTCACAGTCGAAAGCCATGCTCGTGGACCCGGCAGTAAAAGTTTAGAACCGTCAATCGATGGGGCCAGCCCCCAAGTGTGACCCTCAGCATCGTCCGATAGGATTGGGCGGCAATTAGTGCTCTCTGCCAACCACAAATGCGGACCCTAAAGTTTGCTGGCGACGCCTTCTAGCAACGAAAGTGAGGGCGTCGCCGCTTTCCCAAACTTTTATCTTGGTACACAGCCCGCCTATTGGATACAAAAAGACGGCCGCTTGTGTTTGAGCCCCAGATGCGTGCCTACTGACTGCTCAGCCTAGCGTGCGACCGTCTATATGTAAGCCTCTCTCTATTGTTGGACTTCGTACAAGCTTGACCCCTGCAATCCGGACTTTCAGAAGGCCATAATCATGGATGAAGAGTTTCAGGCCCAAACACAAGACGAGCTCCTTGACGCAAAACGGGCCTGCTTGGCGCCCCAGATACGTCAGACCGTGCATTGAAGATCGAAAAGATACAATCAACAACGTCCCGCAACCTTCGAAAGACGATCTGAATCGTAGTGACTGGGCATCCCTCCTAAAACAACCCCCAGATGTGGCGGCAGGACGGATACATCAATGCTTAACGTAAGCTGACCTGGAGTTAGAGCTTTTGTGGCTTACAACGAAGCTCCTACGTGTCTGTAGTGTTCCTACCGAGAAGATACTGAAGTCGCATGTACATTCTACTCTAAAAAAACCTCAGCCGGACATCATTTCGATCCCCGGAAACAATAAATAATGGGGCCGTTCTGAAAGCTAACTCTTACTTCGCCTCGCGTATCTGACCGTATAGACAAGCGCAACCGAGCCCACCAGGCCCCCCAATAGCAACCATCGCGTTGTTTCTTTGGAGATCCAAGGTGGCTTCTCTGGCGGCATCTCCATCAGCGCTTTGACCTGCAAACGGTGAATGCTTTGGCAACGAGAGACAAGGACAGATTTGGGGACCCAGCGAAACAGCTTGTTAAGCACACGTTTTCGCAGGATTCTCTGGATGGGAAAGCAGTTTTTGAGCTTTTGGAGAAGATGGCGTCGAGGATGCTTTCAGCATCTGCAACTTGCACTCAAGATGCTTTGGAAAGAAATGTGCAAAAGGATAATCCTCTGCGAAGATACGAAACGCGAAACAGCACGTAAAGAATTAACGACAACCTTCTCCGGCTTCCTAAGTTTCGATGGGTCAAAAGACTCCGTGCATTCGAGCCCACGTCATGGAGGTAACGGCGTCTTCATTCGCTTCTGAGCCCGGCAGTGGGCATGATAAAAACCAAAAACAATCTGGATCTCGAGGCTTACTTAACAGGTAACACTTTCACCTGTTTCAAAGGTGCGACAAGCAGCTGGTACTGGAAATAAGGTGCAGCCGCCGTCAATCAAGGCAAGAGTGACAGATAAAATCCAATCACCGAAACATTTTGTCACGGGGGTTCATCGATCTACTGACTTTGAACGCGCCAGAGACTAGGCTGTCAACCAAAACTTACGTCTATTGGGGCCTCCCAGTTTTCCCGGATCCCGCTCTGATGGCCTTTCCCAACGACCGCAACCACCCTGTTAGACGTCCTTGCTAGGTCCCGGAGTGATGCAGCCATGTACCTGCAAGTTGGTTGAAACAGGCGGTCTGCAGATCTGAGAAATGGCTAAGGGACAAGCCTCCTTGCTGTCACCATCGTCCATCTTGTTAACATCAACGGTTCAGATCGCCTCGTCACATCCCATACCAGAGGTCCTGATCACGTGGCAGGTCCTAGGTGCTACCAGCTAAGGCCCATTTTGCACTCTCAGACTGGCTTCATTAGCTGAAGATCGGACGGCTGTGACAGCGTTTCGGCCATCGAAGCAGGTCTGCGGTCCGCCTGGAAACGCCCAAGTCTCAGCACGTTTGCTCCGACCGTCCCAAGAAGATTGCAACGAATCGAATCTGACAGATGCACTGTTAAGGGTGGACGGAAGGACGTCAGAAGGAACCAAGCTACTGACGAGATGGGAAGTAAAAAGTTTATGAAAATGAACTAGCGCCTGATCTTGGATTGTTTCGTTTGGTACCATATCACAGAGGGGGCGGGGCGAATTGGCACACTGTAGACTCGTGAGTTTAGGTATCCCGACCTTCTGGTCGGTAAGATGCTTCATCCACGACAGGCACTGAACCACTGGATTGTTCACCAGATGAACAACTATATGGGGAACAACGTATTGAAAGGAACTAGAGCGGGGGGGACGAAGATAGTGAAAGCGTGGCTCACTGGTCGCGCTCGAGCACGAGCGTCCGCCAGAGCGTGGGGAAGGTCTTACTCATCTCCTTGATCGCGAGCGTCAGCATGTCCGTATCCTTCAGGTCCTCCATCTGCGGACGGCACCGGACGCATCGTTCATCGTCCGACAGATGCACGTTTCAATCACCAGACAAATTGTGTCCTGTTTCTCTCGAACACTCAAAAGGATCCCCAGTGAAAAGGCTGGAGGGCTACAAATGGCATTCTCATCAACAAAGCTGTAAGGGCCGTTGATTTACAATCTATGAATTATCGAGCATTCACTGACAAGGCGTCTGGAAGGGGCGAGCAGGAAAAGTGGAGGCCGCAACTGCTGTGGTTGTGGAAGATTCCTAGGAGAAACGACGATTCGCACGTCTTAATCACCACTTTTCAAGCGACTTGACTGGTCAACTTGGCAATCTCCCTTGGCAATCTCCAGGTGCATCAACCGATTGTACGAACTGGGAGAAGGATACCGTATATGGAAACCCAGCCTGGACATGAGGGAACTCTGCCATAAAGGATAGCGAACATCTCCTAAGCTCAAACCGAGAGGTACATGGACGAGTGGAACGGCTGGAAAAGGAGAACGGAGAGGAGGAGGAAGAGGCTGCGTTCTCACCGTGGCTGCAAGTTCGTCGGCGTCAGGGAGGGAGCTGGCTTGCACGAGCATCTGCCACAGCAGCTTGAACTTGTGCCACGCCGGCATCTGGCCCCACGTCCGTTGCAACGTCACCTGCCAGAACGGAACGGAAACGGAACGGGATCAGAATCGGGATGCAATCAGAACGGTTGCCGAAAGAGGGCGTTGTCCGGACGTGCCTATCATCGACAATCTTACAGGACAGACTATGAAAGTCGTCCTGCGACTCTGGGACGCGCACAAGTTTGTGATTGGAGAGAGGAGCCTTGGAAGAACAGTTGCCGTGTGGAACAGGTCCCACGCAAGTCATTTGAGCATCCCCATCGGAATTCGGTCTGCTCTACAACAAGCCGCACTAAAGTCCTCAGGGGAGATCAGTTCGTTTAGGCTTTATCTCCCAGCTCTATATGAAGCAAGGCCAGACTGAAGGCGGATCACACAAGCAACTGGGTGACGGACCCTTTCGTCTGTGTCGTCCTACTTCCTTGAATTCTGTGTGCCAGTTCGCTCAGCGTAATCTTTCGACAGGCACGATGAAAGATAGCAAGCGCCTCAACCAGGGCCTGACTAGTAGGGTACTGCACTCTTGGAGGGTCCGACTACATCAAACAATTGTTCTCTCCGTAGCAGCTTCAAAAGTCACACCTAACCACACCAAAAGACATCTCCGCTATAAAACGAAGCACAATCGGAGAATCATAGCAGGGGGCTCGTTTCACCTGTATTGGTCGGTCCCCCAACTTGATGCTCGCTCCACAGGCGAGTGCTTCCTCATATGCAATTCGAAACTCCTCCCCAGGCAAGACCGTCAACCGGGATGCAACTCTGGCCAAGAAGTAGCCGTAGATCACAGCAAAGGCGTTTGCTTTCTTGTTGCGCAGCTGGTCGAACATCTCTGCGAAGGTGGGAATCTGCAGACCAAAAGGCAGTCTTGTGAGAAAAAGGCAGGAACTACACTGCTGTCCAGATTGTTCCCCTCCTTCACAGAGAGCATGCTACAGAAGAGCGACTGACTGCTGGAGGACAGATAGATGGTCAACAACGTTCTCAATGTAAGCAGGCGGGGAAAGTCTGCCTCTTTGAAAGCTGTGTTGCCCGGCGCCTCAACACACTCAGCATACTGTTACTCTCCACCTGTGAAGCATGACCGCTAGGTGTGCTCCGTCTCATCTCACGGTGCTATATCAACATAAAACTCGGGACCTTGTCAGGGATTGCCAGGGCGGCAGATCCTGGAGGAACACTGGTTGAGGAGCGATACTCACTACAAGGTCTTTGGGAGGCATAAGCACCGCCGTCCGGCCGCTGCACAGCTCTACAAAGACGGCCTGCATATCAACCGGTGCTTGCGATTCAGTTTTGGCTCATGTGACACCAACAAAGAACCTTCTCAGAACCAAGGTGATGGTTCCAGGCAGGCAACATTGCGGGTGGAACATATTGCAGGTAAGCAGTCGTACTCGCAGGTCCAGTGCGTCGCCTCAACCAGTCTTCAAGCTCTCAGTGCTCTCGTTTGCTACGGCACAACTTCAAAGGTTGGCACTCGAGGCACCAAGATGGTTGATAGCAGCTACAGGGTTAAAAGGACTTACATCAGGCTTCACTTCCCTGATGAGCGCTCTGACCTCCTTACAAGAGTCCTGCACAGGTTGAAGTACTCAGAATTAGCAATATTTGAATGCTGTACTCAGAATGCTGTACTCAGAATTAGCGGTATTTGAATGCTGCGGAAGAAATGTCAAGCATTCGATAACTTTTTGACCAATCTAAGTGGTGCTTTGGGGATATCACACTTCAGGCAGCCTATCAGACTTGTTTCATGTAGTGGTAAGCATACACACAGCACTGGTTGCTCTCTAATGCAAACAGTAGTGGTTCTTTCAGGCAGTTGCTGACCATATTTAGAAGGTGATGGCTGCAAGACGTGCTTCCAACAATCAAGCTAGAAGTAGTAAATCGGGTGCACTGGTTTTGAAGTGCTTATTGCGCAAGGTGCATCATTGAATGAACATAGAAATGCTGGGTTGATCAACTGGTTGAAAGGGCCACTATCCCCAGATGCGCGCAGAAATTAATCCTCCTCATCTTTGAACCTCCTTAAAGATATTGATGACAGTCAAGCTTACCTGAGAGACATGAGCCGTGCCAAGAAGATAGACCAACGCCTTCCTACTGCTTGGATGCGCAGGGCCTCGTAGCACAATGGTGTTCTGTCGGAGTTCAAGCGGAAGCTCCTCCAAACTTCCTGTTCCACCGCCCCTTTTCTCAACATCAACAACTTTTGCCATCGCTGAAACCCGTCACGCCCTATCTTTGAGACGCCCTGCCAACGGTCATCACCTTTGGTGGTCCTCGCAACGCACCGTGGAACCCCAGAAGACGCCAAACATTCCCTCCACCACAGAAGTGAGGAAGAAGGACGTGAACTCAACGAGTGCACTCACTGTCAGTGTCAGAGTCAGAGTTCTAGTAGCGGCCCCCTTCCACCTTCCAGATCCTCTGGGTTTGTAGTAAGTGTTACGACTGGGGTTACTCAGGGAATCCAACCGTGCTCAGCTTTGTACGTAACGTTCACCAAGCTTCTCTGGGGACACGTTACAGACTAATAATACGGTTATGTAAGGAAGGGTTTAACGTGTTTTGACAAACCAAGAGTTAGGGCTGGTTAGGGCTGAAGTTGAGAAGCCTATTACAGATCGTCAACTTGCAGAACTCTCAGACTTGAGTCTCAGCTTAAGGTGGAAGTATGGCATTCAACCGCCTGCAGAACCCTAGGTCACGTTTTGGGTCACGAAGTGGTCCAAACTCATCCAAATCGAGTCGAGTTTTTTGCATTGGG